GATTTCTCGCTTTCTCTCTCTCTCTCTCTCTCTCTCTCTCTCTCTCTCTCTCTCTCTGTCTTTCTGGTGAGCGAATGTGCCCTAAAGCAAAAACCTCTCAAAGTAAACAAATAAATAAATAGCTAAATAAAATAATTATTTTTTTAAAAAAGCTCTTAAAGGGACTACAGAAAATTTATGTTCAATTTGTGAGATTTACCTTTTTTTTAATTCTTTTTTAGCATGCCATAACTATTCATGATGAGCTTTTGTTATTTTTATATTAATAAAAATGAACTTTTTAAAAATTACCAGAGGGTGCTTGTACTTGCCAGAGACAGAGATACAGAGAGAGTAAGTACCTCCCCACACAATGAGACAGTCATGCCTCGATCCCTTCTCCATTCTCCATCTTGTTGGAATTTGGAGCATACACACAACGAACATGTCTTCCAAGTTGCCAGGGCTGGGATTCATACCACGGTTGGCCATGTGGGATGTGGCTCCTTTAGCCACTAGACTATAGGACTGGTCCGGAAATGAACACTTTTTAAAGAAAAGAAAACCACTAAGGATTTTTAAAGTTATCTAACACAAAATATAATACTGCATTGAACTGTGCTTTGTACACTTCCAGCCAATGCCATGGGAGGCAGGCTGGGGGCGTGAGAGTGAGGACTACACAGACCCTTTGCTGTCATGCCAGAACCCTAGTACTGATGACCTCAGGAGGAGGAACAGGACGGCAGAGCTTCTGAAAAGTGTTCTTCCTGTGCAAGACACTCAGAGCAGCTCCTTCTCTCTGTCTGCTGGTATTTTTAGAGTATAAACCTAGAAGGTCATGGATTTGGTTTTTAGAGTGGAACTCTTCCCAAGCTGACCCAGTTACCACATCAAGCAGCTCGAGAGTACAATAGTTGAAAGGGAGATGTGGCTAGACAAGCTAGTTCTCTAAAGGGCCTGAGGCTCGTATTTACAGTCAGCTTACAAGTAACCCTTATAACCAGGGCAAATAACCGGATAGCCCCTGCCTTCTTCCTTTTCCTTCTGGTCTAAGACACCCTGGTAACATCTTTTCTAGACTGGTCTTCCTGTTTTCTGATTTCTAGCTATGCAGGGCCGGCCCCATAACACAGTGTTAAGTACTGTGCATAGAAAGCCAGATCCCGCAAGGCTAACAACAGTTCAAATCTGGCCCCAGCAGCTTGAACAACTCACTAAGCACATGAGGATGTGTACCCGAAATCCTGATAGGGTGGAGAAATGGAGAAGGGATTGAAGTGTGACCATGTCACATGGGGAGTGGGGGGTGGTCTCTCTTTCTCTCTCTCTCTCTCTTTCTCGTACATGTACCTTCTAGTAATTAAAAGGGGAGAGAGAGAGAGAGAGAGAAATTATAGGACCAGCAAGTGGCATAATGGTTAAGGCACTGGACTCCTACATGGCCGACCACAGTTCAAGTCCTGGACATGGCAGCTTGAAAAATCACACTGGGGGGACCAGCAGATGGCGTAATGGCTACGTCCCTGGACTCGCATGTAGTCGACCACAGTTCGAGTCCCAGACCCGGTGGCTTAAACCCACACTGGGAGCGTGTGCGTGCGTACCCAAGATCCCAAGAGGAGAATGGAGGAGAAAGGATTGTGTCGTGGCTATCTCTCACTTTCTGTCTCTCTGTGTCTCTCTGTCTTTCTGGCAAGCACACGTACCCTATAGCGAAAACCTCTCCAAAGAAAAAAAAAGATACCATGCTAAAGTTTGGACCAAAAAGACTTCCTAACCTGGAATCGAGTATAGAAAACTTCTTCCTTTAAGCCCTCGGGAATCTGCTTTGGAATCACTTCAAATGTCTCAGCATCATGTTACAGGAGGCCAGATCTGGAGGTTGAACAAAAGAAAACTGGGATCTTCTCTCCACTTCTTAGCAACTTTGTTCACTGCTAGCGCTCTAGGACCTGGTCGAGTGCTGACCCAGAGTAGACAATCTGTAGTTGTTTTGCTGTGGTTGTATAACATTGAGCAAGTTACTTAACCTCTCTGAGTCTAGATTTTTTTTTCATTATAAAACTGGAAAAAATAGGGACCAGCAGATGGCGTAAGGCTTACGTCTCTGGACTCCCACGTAGTCAACCATGATTTGAGTTCCAGACCAGCAACTTAAAACTCAAGCCAGGTATGTGTGCCTGTATGGTCAAAATCCGGAGAGGAGAATGGAGAAAGGATTGCGGTTTGGCCATCTGCCCTTCCCCCTCCACACTGATCTCTCACTTTCTGTCTGTCTCTCTCTGTCTCTCTGGTGAGCACATGTGCCCTATAGCAAAAATCTCTAAAACAAAAAAAAAAATGGAAAAATTAATAATACTTCGTTTTCTTAATTAAACTTTAATGTACTTTCTTTGCTAATCTTCAGTTAAATCTTTTTATTAAAAATTAGTTTTGGGGGGAATCAGCAGTTAGCATAATGGCTATGTCGCTGGACTCCCACGTAGTCGACCACGGTTCGCGTCCCAGACCTGGTGGCTTAAAACTCACACCGGGCGCGTGTGCGTGCATGCCCAAGATCCCGAGAGGAGAATGGAGAAGGAGTGTGGCGTGGCATCCCTCACTAGGGGGTGATTTCTCGTTTTCTGTCTCTCTGTCTCTCTGTCTGTCTGGCAAGCGCATGTGTCCTATAGCAAAAACTTCTCAGAAAAAAAAAGAATTAGTTTTAAGGGTCAGCAAGTGGTGTGGTGGTTAAGGGTGTTGGATTCCCACATGGCTGACCACAGTTCAAGTCCTGGGCCTGGTGGCTTTCTTTCTCACTCTCCCCCTCCCCCTGTCAAGTTAAAATAAATAAATAAATAAAGTTAAATAAAATAATTATTTTAAAATTAATTTTAAATGTTATTAAATTTATATTTTTTCCTTTTATTAACATCAGAATAGTATTACTGCTTCTTATTCTTCATTTCAAAGATTTGGTATTAGTTGTTTGCTTGCTTTTTTTTTTTTTTTCTTAGATAGTCTTGCTATGTCATAATCCTCCCAAGTAACTAGGGCAATGGCACATGCCATGACACCTGGCTTTTAGGGTGGTCTAGTGGTCTGCTGTTCCTGGCCAAAGACTCGATATAGGTTAAGTAGGATTTTGTAATTTAGCTCTCTTTAAAAAAATTGACAATGTATTTCACATAATTAATTTACACCTGAGATTTTTAATGAGTTAAAGATTAAAACTATGGGGACCAGCAGGTAGCATAACGGTTATGTCACTGGACTCCCACGTAGTCTACTGCAGTTTGAGTTCAAGACCCAGCTACTTGAAACTACGCTGGACATGTGCATGTGTACACAAGATCCTGAGGGGAGAATGGAGGAGAAGGGATTGTGGCATGGCCATTCCCCTGGGGGATGATTTCTTACTTCCCGTCTCTCTCTATCTCTCCAGCAAGCACATCCATCCCATAGCAAAAATCTCTCAAAAAAAAAAAAAAAAAAGAAAAAAAAAAGATTAAAACTACGGGACCCGCAGGTGACATGGAGACGTGGAGATTAAGGCACAGGATCCCATATGGTTGACCTCACCATTCAAGTCCCAGACCTGGCGGCTCGAAAAACATGCCAGGCACTAATGCATATGTGCCCCAAATCCCAAGAGAATGGAGGAAAAGGGATTGTGATATGGCCATCCCCTCCGGGGACAGGAAGCAAGGTGATTTCTCATTTTCTCTGTCTCCCGCTGTCTCTGGCAAGCACACAAGTCCTACAGCAAACACTTAAAAATAAAGAAAGAAAGAAAGAAGAAGACAAAATAAAGGATTAATACTCTATATTAATTTTTCTTTAACTGTTCTGATGGAAATTTTATAAACTATGTCCCATTACCTTACACAATAAAACACGACACACCACATAGTGTCTCAGGAGTGACTTAGTGTAATTAATAGGCTAAGAGGACACTGTGAGTTGAACCATCCTGCCTCCACTTATAGTCTAGAGCTCGCTCCCATGGAAGGATCCAGGGCCTTTCTCATCACTGGCTTCCTGTGTGGAATATGCAGCTCCATTACTGTTAAAACTGAACGAGAACTGCATGCAGATCGGCCTTTGTAGTTCTGTAACTGTGCTCATAGCAAAAAAAAAAAAAAAAAAATTGCCTTTACTGTCCGGCTTTTTAGCAGCAAAGAAAACATTTTTAATATTAAAAATCACTTCAAAGGCCCAAGGATGTTGATTTTTGCAGGGAAATGTCGCCATCTGGTGGACTTCTTGTGTCAGAATGTGACTAAAGAACATTCTGTAAACCAATTCCTTTGTATAAAAATACTTGCCCACCTTCCTTACATACCTTCAGTCTTGCTTCTCCTCCTACTC